ATATATAATAGTGCAGATTGAGATTTCAGTGGGATATTTGAGATATGAAGCTGTAACGTTTGTCATTTGTGGGTTCTAAGAAATCACTGAAGAATATTTACGCAGGTATCTATTTGTGTGTATATAGATGTTACTGGTANTAATAATAATAATAATAAATATAATAATAATAAAAAATAAATATATATAATAGTGCAGATTGAGATTTGAGTGGGGTATTTGAGATATGAAGCTGTAACGTTTGTCATTTGTGGGTCCTTAGAAATCATTGTGGAATATTTACGGAGGTATCTATTTGTGTGTATATAGATGTTACTGGTATTGTTACTGTATTTACATTACTGTTACTGTATAATTAGTAAGTAAATAGTTAGTGTTGAGTTGGGAATATTTATTATTATATATAATAATAAATAATAATAAATATAATAATAATAAATATAATAATAAATAAGAGAATAATTATAATGTGATATGAAGCTGCAAGAGAAGTTGAGTGTCATTGTAAGCGTAGTTGATAGCATTGGGAAGTCAGTTGACAGTGAGGTTGTTTTAGATTATTATTATTTATTATTGTTATTGTTATTTATTGTTATTATTTATTATTGTTATTGTTATTGTAATCGTTATCAGTACCCCTTATCAGCCGTTATCAGTGCTTATCAGTGACGTCATCGTTTTAGTGATAATCGAGCGGACGGTTTGAAAATGGAGCCAGCAGCCAAGAGTAGCACGTTGGCAGTTCCCCAGCCAATGGGGAAACGTGGTAGTATGCAGCAGGTATGGGAATGATATTTATTATTATTATAATAATAAATATATGTATATATAATAATAATGTATATAATAATAAATAATATAGATATAATAATAATAGTTAGATTGAATATCATAGCAGTGGGATTTGGTTAATCCTAAGGTATGAAGCTGCATTAATTGATATAATAAGTGTGATATGAGTAATAATAATAATAATAAATAATAGTAATAAATATATATATAATAATAAATATAATAATAAATAATATAGATATAATAATAATAGGTAGATTGAATATCATAGCACTGGAATTTGGTTAATCCTAAGGTATGAAGCTGCATTAATTGGTATAATAAGTTGATATGAGTAATAATAATAATAAATAATAGTAATAAATATATATAATAATAAATATAATAAT